ACTTTCTTAAAAAAAAAAAGGCAAAAGGTGCAATTCAGCCCCTCTACCAGCCATGTTGTGGCAGATCAACCCCTGTACTAGAAACTATGGTAAATCAGCCCCTCTACTTCATGTTATCCGCAGAACACCCCTTTTAATGAGAATGACGTTATCCAACCGTTAGACCCTCCATTGCCCATTAAAACCTGATGAGTTGGCGTTGACTGGGTGCTAATTGGGTGCTGATGTGGACCAATTTAGCATATTCCCTTCTGCATTGGCTCTCTGACCTTGTTATTGGCACACAATCAACTTAACAAAAAAGGGAAAACCACTGATTCAAACAGAACCAAGCATATACTCAACCCAACAAAAATGGAAAAACCACTGATTCAAACAAAATCAAGCATACACTCAGCCCAACAAAAAAGGTAACAACACTGATTCAAACAGAGCCAAAAATGAAACAGATATGCATACCTTTTTTTCTTTTTCCTTTCTCCACACCCGGTCTAACGAACTTCTCCAACTTGCTCCTCCAGTAAGAGTTTGGATTATCCATGTCCAAATTCGAATCAGAATCAAGATCCAACGCCAAATTGCCTTGCATTTCCAAATCAATCTCTTCTATGGAGAGTTCCCCAGCATCTTCCGAAGATTGCAGTTGTCAATTTTTAGTATTTCTGATGACTTCCTCGTAGAGTTCATCCTCGGCATTGTTGTCTTCGAGATTCTCGGTGTATAATCTACCGGACTTGGTGAGGAGAGTAACGATGATGACGTTGTAAAGGAGGAAGACGAACAGCTGACTAGCGATGGCGTCGTTGAGTTTGGCAAAAAAACTCACCGCAATCCTGATGAAGATACATCTCTATGGCCTAAATCACTTTAAACTTTAATCAAAATAGAGGGAAAGAAATCAAGTCTGGAAGGAATTGAAATGAGTAGAGGAAGGAATTAAAATGAGTAAAAGCAAATTAAAACAGAAGGAAAGTTCAATCGAGGGTGAGATTGTGAGATTGAAACCCTAGATCCCCAATTTATTGTTTTGGTAAGGGTTCTTTAGTAAAAGCATTGGAGTGCCATCTCGGTAAACCCAGGTGGAGTAAAATTGGTCCACATCAGCACCCAATCAGCACCCAGTTAGCGCCAACTCATCAGGTTTTAACAGGCAATGGAGGGTCTAACGGTTGGATGATGTCATTCTCATTAAAGGGGGTGTTCTGCGGATAACATGAAGTAGAGGGGCTGAATTGCACCTTCTGCCAAAAAAAAAACATTCCCCTAGATTTTCCCCTTTTTTTT